GGGTTACGTTAAGCGTTAGGGTTAGGGTTAGGTTAAGGGTTAGGGTTAGGTTAAGGGTTAGGGTTAGGGTTACGTTAAGCCTTAGGGTTAGGGTTAGGTTAAGGGTTAGCGTTAGGTTTAGCGTTAGGCTTAGGGTTAGGGTTAGGTTTGGGGGGGTTAGGGTAAGGTTTTCGCATTAATTTTAAATTTACCGCTCACAGCGTGCCGTTTTCGTCATGCTGTGATGACCTCACGTACGCACTTACGTCGAGCGCGCTTTAGTCTACCGCGGATTTGTGGTGGAACCTATAAATCCTTCCATTCCCTACTATCCTGTCAGAGCTGAAGAAGCTTCTTGGATGAGAAGTGAAACATCTTTAAAGGAAAAAACAAACAAACAAGGAAGTCCATAGGCCTCCTGATAAAGCACCTTTGGCATAGATCTAAGCGCTATTGCTATCCTAAAAGGGGGAGGACATTCTTAAAAAAAGGACCCTCCCCTTATCCCAAATCCTTTCCAACTTGTCCTGCTTCTTCTGGGGCAACTTGGAAGCCCTTCACGGAACCCCAAACCCAACGCCAGGGCTCGGGCTGTCCACTCTCTCTCTTTCTATCCCATCCTCCTGCTCTCTACCTAAACGGAAGGTGGTTTCCTCCGAGGGCTTGTTAGGGCAGGCCGTGTTTTTGCAAACTTCTGGCCCGGGAAGAACTCCCCCCCCCCCCAAGCTAAGTTCCTTCTCTTTTGCAGCTTTGGATTCGGCCGCCACCAGCGCAAATCGGGACAAGCGAGCTTAGCTCGGCTCCAGAGTAAAGGGCGGGCCGTGGAGGGGGGGACTTTCCACAAGACGCAGGACGCTCCCGAGTGTCCCGTGTGAACGCAGGGAAGGCGGCGAAGGGAACCTGCCTTGATACCCACCCACCACAGCGCCCCACGGGGGAAAGCGGAGGGCCGCCGGGCTCTCCGGGAGCAGCCGGCGGAGCCTCCCGCCGTGCAGCCTGTACCTTGCTGAACACTTCCAGGTCTTCGTCGTCGTCGAACTCCAGCAGCTCCGAGGTGGAGGAGGAGGAGGGAGGCAGCAGCAGCAGCGGCCGGGGCGCTGGCGGCTCGGCACGGGCTGCCTTGGCCTCGCCGCCAAGGGGAGGGGAGGAGAACGGCCGCGGCGACTGCGACTCGCCCCGCTCGCCCTCCATCCTTCCCCGGCTTGGGTTGCGCGTCTGTATGTAACGCGCGGGGCGCCGCGCTCGGGAGGCGGCGGACGAGCCCGGGTTTGCGCTCCTCCTCTCGGCTCGGCAATTGGCCGGCGGAGCTCTCGGCCGCCCCTTTGCTCGCACTGCGCAGGGGCGGGGAGAGACGGAGGGAAGGCGTGCGAGCGGGGCGCCCCTTCGAAGTCCTGACCGAAGCCCGCCTTCGTTTGGGCGCCTAGTTTTAAGATCGCTGCCGGTGCCCTCTCCGTCTCCATGCCGGGAACGCCGAGAAAGGCAGAAGAATAACTACTACTGAGGCTGCCTCGGTTGCTCCCTCGGGCAAGCCTTTGAACAGGTGCGGGTGTGGGATGCGGAGGCATTTGGAGATACAGGTAGTCCTCCACTTGCCATCCCAATGAAGCCCCAAGTTTATCTTTGCTAAGTGAGAAATGTATCCACTTAGTGAGCTTTTCGCCCGTTTTACGACTTCTTGCCACGCTTTTTAACTGGCCCAGGGGACACTGCCACCTGTTGTAAATGTGGTTCCACCACAAAACCGCGGTGGACTAAAGCGCGCTCGACGAAAGCGCGTACGTGACGTCATCACAGCNTGTGAACAAAAATAAAAATGGAAGAACATGCCTTGGGAGACTCCTATCACAAGCCTTGTAGGTTTCCTGACTTCTTAATGAGGTTAAGGCTCCCTCTTCCCAAAATCAGAAAAGTTAAAGAGGAAAGAAGAAAGAAAGATTTTTTAAAAAAGCCCACAAGTAATTTCCAAGAACTAGGTAAGTTCTTGTCTTTGGTTTTGTAACTTAATTCCCTTTTCTTTCTCAATGTTTCTGGTTAATAAAACTCTGGAAATCTACTTTTCTTGTCTGCGGGTGGCTGCTAAAGACTTGTCATTAATCAGATGTGGTTTTCCTCCTTCTGCAACTAGATTCCCCATTTCTCCTTGTCCTGCGAAAATACATGAAATTGTGTTCGAAAGACTATCAGAAACTCCCAACTTGCTGTGGTGGGATCCAACCAGTGTAACAATCGGTTCGCTGAGCGCACACATGTGATTGTCGGAGCGAACCGGTTCGCTCTCAGCTGATTGCCGGAGCTACCGGTTCGCCTGAACCAGTCCAAACTGGCTGAATTGCACCCTTGTTCCCAAGATTGTTGGTTGGAAAGGATAGTGGGAGCTTTTTAAAAAGAAAAAAAACATCTAGGAATAAGAAAATTGCAGGGCATGTACTCCCTTATCCAGGTTTCTGGATAGAACAGAATAAGAGTTGGAAGGGACCTTGGAGGTCTTCTAGTCTAACCCTTGCTCAACCAGGAAACTCTATACCATATACCGGTATATAAGTCTAACTGCTATTTCAGGTAAATGATTGTCCAATTTTTCTTCCAGTGATGGAGCATTCACAACTTCTGAAAGCGAACCATTCTACGGTTCTTTCGGAAAATTTCCCATTATTCCTAGGTTGCTTCTCTCCTTCATTAGTTTCCATCCATTGCTTCTTCTGCTTTCAGGTGTCTTTGAAAACGGATTGACACCCCACCTCTTTGTGGTGGCCCCTCCAGGACCACCACAAAGACTGGTATTCTGTCACCCCCCTAATCCTTCTCTTCGTTAAACCAGACATAATGCAATTCCAGCAACTGTTCTTCTTCCTATGTTTTATCTTCCAATCCCCTAGTCATGTTTGTGGCTCCTCTCTGCACTCTTTCTAGAGTCTCCACATCTTTATTATATCATGGGTACAGACGCCAAAGTTGGATTTACCTTGAGGCTAATTTTACCGTGCATTTCTCTTTCTTTCTCTCTCATTTTCAGTAAAGGGCTGACTCTAGTCTACCAGTGATTTGTGAACTACAATTCCCAGCACCCCTCAGCATGAGGCAAACTGATTGATCCTGCTGGAAATGGTAGTTCAGCAGCCAATTCGCTACCAAGAATGGGACAAACTTATTTAATAAACTTTCTATCAGCTAAAAACATCCTCAGGGACAATTAGACCACAAAATACGATTCCAGGAGCGTTGTTCTGTACAAGTAACATTTGTAGATGGATAATGTGAAGCTGCCACCTGATTTGGCTTCCCGGGAGACACGCAACCATTCTCCCATTCTGCCAACTACGACTTAAATCATCTGCAAAAGAAAAATCATCTTCAATTCTTCGCTTCAGAATTTTGATTTCAATTCACAGGCCACGTTCCGAGACAAATCCACCCACGGGAAATGGGATTCGCTAGAATAGTTTGCCTTCCCTTATTATATTTTCAGAATTGCAAACAGAACGCAAGTTAACTCACCGTTTCCAGCCCCTTCGCTATATTGGAAAATGCTCCAGGACAGAAGGAGCCCAGACATAAGAAATAAAGCATTCATTGCCTTCTTGAGTTGAAGTTCAGATCAATTTGAAAGGGAGTTTTAGCTCACAAATCCGGAGTCTGTAGATCTCTCTTCTGGAGATCCAGAGCAGGAGGCAGTTTGATCATATCTCGCCAGCTCTATGCCCTTTTCACTCACTCACCCACCCTGCAAGGAGCTGAAATTGAAAACAGGCACAAGTCCTACTCATCTAGGAAGTTGCATTTTCAAACAATGTTCTTTTAGCTGAGCTACGGTGGAAGGAAGTGGTTGGCCCGTGCGGTTCAAAAACGTGACCAACGGAGTGGACAATTTTTACCACCTCTTTTACCAACTCCTAAAAATCAAGAGGCATCTCGCTGAAGTCTGAGAACCAATTTCTTTTGGTCAATTCGTTTGCGTGCTGTGCCAGCGACCAAGAAGGAAAACTGGCACGCCAAAGGACTGTAATATGCAAATAGTAATATTCCTGACTTCATCTTTCAATTCATCCTGCCAACACAGGAAATAACAATTACTGTAGCTTAGGATACAGAAGTCTCTGACTTACGACCACAACCAAGCCCAGGATTTATGTTGCTGAAGGAGCTGGTACATTACTGGTACTCCGTTGGTCAGTTCTTTCAACTGCATGGGCCAACCACTTCCTATGAGACAGTCGTTAAGTGAGTTTCGCCCCATTTTATGACCTTTCTTGCCACGGTTGTTAAGTGAATCCCTGCCGTACTTAAATTAGTAACATGGCTGTTAAGTGAATCTGTCTTTTGCTTGTCAGAAGGTCACAAAAGGGGATCGTGTGAATCCCCCAAGACACTGTAACCATCCTAAATGTATGCCAGTTGCCATGCCAAGCATCCGAAGTTAGGTCACGTGTGACCCTGGAGAAGCTGCAATGGTCGTAAGTATGAAAACTGGTCATACTTTTTTCAGTGCTGTTGTAACTTTGAGTGGTCGCTAAACAAACTGTTGTGAGTTGAGGACTACCTTCGCTATACTTCATCTAATGCAGTGTTTCTCAATCATGGCAACTTGAAGATGTCCGGGACTTCAACTTCCAGAATTCCCTAGCCAGCGAATGCTGGCTGGGGAATTCTGGGAGTTGAAGTCCGGACATCTTCAAGTTGCCAAGGTTGAGAAACACTGATCTAATGAATGAGGCTGCAGTCCATGAGAACTTGGTCTACAACCTCCATGGTTTTGCCTAGTTGGGTAATGAAACATCTGCAAGCCAACAGCCAAGCTCAGAGAGCACCAAGGACCTCACAGTTCGAGCTATTCTATCGGAAATCTATCCAGGGTGCTGGATTGGCAGGATACGCTAGACCAGGGGTGAGCAAACTGTGGCTCTGGAGCCGCATGTGGCTCTTTCATCCCTCTGCTGCAGCTCCCTGTCATTCAAAATATGCTTCACAACTGCCAATGTGTGACACCTGCCAGTACGTGATTTATTGAGCTCTTTGACCCCGGAAGGCCAACCATGGATAAATCCAAGAAGAGAAAAGTTTCAGAAGAAAACAGAACGTTTAATTCAACTACATATGCTAGTTTTGTGGCCGCTCAGGAAATAGTCAGGCACGGGAAGGGTTTTTGTGGCTCCCGGTGTTTTCTTTTCTGTGGGAAACGGGTCCAAATGGCTCTTAGAATGTTTAAGATTGCCAACCCCTGGTCTAGGTAATTGCTTTTGCTGCAGAAAATGTACTATCTATATACCAGTGATGGCTAATCTTTTTGGCATCGTGTGTCAGCAACCATAATGCAATGTGCGTGTGACAACCCCCTGTCCCCCTCCCCGCACACATGCATGCGCGACCTCCCTGCAGCCTCCTGGGACGCTGCCCCTATGCAACGCCCCCTGCCCCACGCACATCCATGCATACCCATCTCCCGCATGCCCTCTGCCTCCGTACATCCATGGCAGAGACCCTAAAACAATCTGGCTGGCTAGAGGCGTGCATGCACATGCACAGTGGATCTGAGCTGGGGCGACAGCTCGAGTGCCCGCAGAGAGGGCTCTGCGGGCCGCCTCTGGCAAGCGTGCCATAGGTTCACCATCGTGGCTCTAGGCCAGGGGTGTCAAACTTGATTTCATTGAGGGCTGCATCAGGGTTGTGTTTGACCTCAGGGGCACGGGATGGGCGTGGCCAGGGTGGGCGTGGCCAGCTTGACATACCTTGTGTCGGGGGCGCCTGTGGTGGCACGAGCACTCAGCTAGAGAAAATGGGCTCCTGAGCTCCGTTTTCAGCTGCGATGGCCTCCTGCAGTCCTCAGTAGAAACAGAGCGGGCGGCCCTCCAGAGCTCCATTTTTGCTGTCCGATGCACCGTGGGGTGGTCCTTCACTGTTTCCAGAGTGGCCTTGTGGGCCAGATCTAACCACCTTGCGGGCCAGATTCAGCTCCCAGTCCTTGAGTTTAACACCCCTGCTCCAGACTCAGCCAAAAATGACTCAAGATTATGGCGAGGGTTGTAAAGAAGGGCCTAACATTTCCAGTGCTACCTCTTTTTTTATCCAGAGTCTCAGTACCCCTAGAAACCAATGTAATCTTAATGTTTGTTGCTTCTGAACTAAAGGTTTCACTCGAATTATCTACTTCCTATCATACTCACATCCATATCTACCAGAGGTGGGTTCCTACCAGTTCGCACCTATTCGGTAGAACCGGTTCGTCAAATCTAC